TCAATATATTTAATGACCATATATGGTCATGTGACCTCATTATACATGTTATCATATCTGAAACACTATTGCAGATACAGACGTTCAATCAGTGCTTGTAAAAAAAAGATACCAGGAGATCTACCATCGCTGATGGCTTTCTTGTTTTTAATGTATCAATTGAAATTCCAACTGCAATACTAAACTCAGCTTGACCTTTTTGAACATTTTGTTTCAGACAATTATCACAATTTTGTCTCCATGTGAAAAATTCGATCAAATAGCTATGTTCTGGATTTGGTCAGACCAGACCAGACCAGACCAGACCAGATTTAATAGCACTTGACGCCTTGACCTACATAATATGTGAACAAATTTACCCAAATTTAAGCAGGAAAAAAATTTGGCGCTCAAAGAGTTGAAGCGGGTTCCAAAATTCAGAACATTGTATCATTGAAAATGTCATTTGAATGGCTCGCCCATCACATATAACGTGCACAGATGTCATCATGCTTTGTTCTAACATTTTATGTACTCCATTGTCTGCACATTGTTATTCATACTTAAATTAAACATATGATTGACAGTCATTTTGAAGACATGCCTGGATGTTTTTAAACATGAGTTATGTTTAAATTCATCTAAATAGTGAACATCAAAATCATATTTTATTTATATCCATATAGAATATTTCAGGCTTTCTATTAGTCAAAACAGCGATTTCGCTCAGCACGTAGACCAGATGTGTCATCATGGTCACCATCTTCACTTTTGTACACCGTGAGTCATTACAGCGGGCGTAAGATATTTACATACATACATACCGGTTCTTTTATTGCGTCTACAACGGTCGTTGAAGCGTCTAGCGAAGTGTCTGGGGATGTTGCAAAGTCCCTCGGTAATTACATACCGGGTGCGGGAGTTAGGTGTATGTAAATATATTGCGCTTGCTGTAACAATACTTGTAAGACTGCCATAAACTACTGATATCACCAATAACAGCCTCTTAAAATGTAAAATTGGCATTGTTACTGTCCTTGCATGGTGTTCATGATACAACATTGTTTTTGTCTTGTTTTCTAGTCGTGTTGATATGACAAGGCCATTCCGAAGTGATATCCATATATCATACCTAGACAAGGTGAGTCATAAATGTAATCTTTGTTGCTACCCATACATAGAATTCTCAAATATTTCGGTGTTGCTAACAACCTTGAGGGATTGAATAGTTGTTCTTGATCTTGTCACCAAGTTCAAATACAGAATCAGGAATATTAATTTTGTTATATTACTCCCCAATCATAACAATAACCCTTTGTCAACTTTTGGCACCACTTACAAAACAATTTTCTACAGTCTGCTCTTCACATGAAATATTGATAACAATTGACAAACCTTTTGATCAAAAACAAAAAGCAATAACAGAAATTGACCGTATAGTCCAAAATGATGATGGAATTTAGTTTAAAATTTTACAGAATGTGAAAATATTTGCACTGAATTTGTAACAGGAAAAAAAATGATCTATCAACTGACTGACTTATTGGTCATAAAAATGACATCATGTCTGTCTACTTTGCGCAGAGACTCAGGTCAAGTCTCGATCATTGCCCCACAGGTAAACTTATGACCTCACAGATTCTTCATAAATGTGGACAAAAGTGACCATGACAACTGTAAAGATGACATAACTGATGACATCGCCGACGATTATGATAGTTCTTTTAATAACACTGTTGACTGCATTGGACATCTCCTAACTACATGTATAAGCAGTCATGGTATAGTGCTTTAGGAAGTACCACGGAGTGTCCATTAGATGCGGCATAAAACTAGAGACAAGTTGTGAAACGTGTTTTTCAGATTCCTGCAAATCAGAAAAAAATTACCAATCTTTCACAGCCAAACAATGTGTTCGGGTTATATTAAGCCAACCGCTAACAAAATTCGTCCAAATTCATTGTTTTTGTGTAAAAAAAATCCCTTGCACACGAACACAGAACACTTTCCTGGGGTGTTAGAAACCCAAAATTGTCATCTCAGCAGCCAATCAGCGATGACCATACAGTCAGATGACAATTTCGGTTTCAGATACCCCTAGAAAGTGTTATATGTTTTTTGTGTAATTAGGTGTGCAAGGGATTTTTCCACACAAAAACGACGAATTTTTTTAGCGGTTGGCTTAATATTACCCGAATGGATCACTATTTTGTAGTAAAAAGGTTAAGCTGCATGTGCCTGTAAAAAAACACATGTTTACAGCATGTCAGGTTTCCAGTGTTTGGCCTTGGAGTCAAAGAGCAAAATGGTGTAACCAAGTAAAAACACAAGAGATTTGTCATTCTGTAATTTTTTATTATTTTCTATAACTATTATGAATGTGCACATCAAATTTGTGTTACAGAGACTCTGTATATTGTCATATGTTGCGTCTAAGCCATAATTTCAGTCTGGTGTTCCATTCACAGATGATATCTTCTCTGAAAGCTTACGCATCCTGCGATGACCATGAAGATAACATTCTATCAGTAATTCAGGAACTTATCATGCACAATTACATGCAGAAGTCACACGCACAGGATGAATCTGAGATAAAAGAAACAATTAGTGAGAATTAGCATGACTTTGTGAATAACGTCAACACAGATATGTATGTACTCTCTGGGGCGGATCCAGCAAAATGTATTTGGGGGGGTAAATCGCGGAGAAGCTATGTGTAATCCAGATGATATGAATGATCGTTTGGGGG